AAAATGGCAATGATAATATAGATATGGCACAACCAGGATCACTCTAATTATCTTTGTCTGAAAACCAAGCTACGGTTCAGAATCATAGAATTCAACAAGAGGTTGATAATATTAGATAGTATTTTTAAAGCCCAACTACAATAACACCTACAATAAATGGTATCGTAGATTATCTTAATATAATTTCTGATGCCAGAAATAGGCTTGAAAGATTAGTGCTAGAAATATATCTACGAGCTAATGCATTTGCAATCAATGCAGAAAATCGAGTAGTAAATTTGCAAACCTAGCTAACAAATTTGCAAACCCAGATAGCTGATTCACAAACCCAGTTAGCTACGCTTCAAAATAATTATGATCTTCTTTATCAAGCTTATAAAGTCCACAAACTTAATTATCACTTATTAAAAGCAACTTGTATAGAAAAAAATAAGCGTATATCAAAGCTACTCCAAGAAAAATTTGTATCATGCCTTTTAAATAGACAATTTTAGATTCAAGCCTAGCAAAACAGCCAGCAACTACAAGATTGTAAGACAGATAGGACAATTACTATACATCTTTTAAATCTTACAACAAATCAATATATAAAATGGAAAAATAAATGCAAGACTCTAGAAAATGATCTATTACTTGCCGATGTTCAATTGGACAACAAGTGGGGTAAGTGGAAAACTTGGGCACAAAATTCTGAGCAATTAATTTTGAATTTAAATCAACAAATTTTTATGCTACAGAATAATTTATCTATAAATATACAAGCAAATATGGCATTACAACCACTACCACTACCAAATTTTTCAGGTGAATATGATGAGGATATTGATATTTTTATTAGTCAATTATCATCATATTTAGCTAGCACTGGTATAGACCTAGTTGTTAATCGAGATCAAATATTTGGTATTCTTAGAGAGTGTCTACATAAGCAAGTATTAGAATAGTTTGATCAAAAAATTCTTGGTAAACGATAGGAACTTCATAATATTTTTGCAAATCATGGCCAGGCTGGTATGGATGCTCTTCGGGGGCACATTATGGCACAGATGAATACTAGTAATAGCTTTAGAAATCCTTCAATTGCCCATGACTATGCAAATACTGCTGGTAATAATGCAGTAACCGTAGGTGTTTCCATGATTCTAGCTAAAGCTTTTACTGAAGATTGGTGCTTAGCTAGAGGACATCTATCGGATAGACCTGTCAATACTATTAATGCAGGTAATGCTAATCCTATAGTATTTGGTGATATTCGGATTGGTCAAGCATTATATTGGCTCAGAAATAAATATTCTACAGTAATAAGTGAAAAGTACAATTTAGTTTATAGATCATTAGCTCAGGGGTGAACCTATAGGAGACTTTTACTCAAAACTCTTAAAATATAGAAAAATGCTTAATTCTGATGAGCAACAGATTAAGGAACAAGTTCTAAGAGATTTGTCTCCAGACTTGGAGGATGATATAGAATGCATTGGTACTGAGCAACCATTAGTTAATCTTTTTGAAATTTTAGAGCGAATTGAAATACGAAGAGCAGAGAAAAAATTAGAATTAGTTAGTAAAATACCCCAGTCTAGTTATAAATTGTTATCTA